CGGATGTGACGTCACTTTTTGTTGGATGATCCAGTACAAAAATTTCAGGAGTCTTCTGCCCCGCCCCTGCTCCCTGCTGATCATGAAAGTTGGCGGTTTCGTTCATGGAGGAGATGTCATGCTTGTTCAGTTCACAAGTTCCTTTGCCGTCTTTCTTGGATGACATCTTGTAGTTTGTAGAAGTACACCAGGGGTTTCTCATACATTGTTGACCGCGCGATAACAAACTGGGAGAATCAAACCGTTTGATAACGCATCCTTTAAGCTGCTCATTTTCTCGAAATTCAAAGTATGATGAACGAGAAGATATGAACTTTTCTTCGGCGAAGAAAACGACGGTAGATTGTAAAAGGAAAAATATCAAAACTTTTGTATACCCCATGGCTAACAAAAGTTGGTCCGAGCAGCAAGGATTATAGTGAAACGTCAAATTATTCGCTTTGTTAAATGACAGAAAAACATCAGGCAAATTTATTCAAGAATTTGTAATTACTGTGCAGCGCCTAGCCTATTAATACATTTGCGAGATGGTCTATAATCTGCAAGGTGAAACCAAAGACTCGTCTCCCTAAGACGACATGCATAATTGGTCGATTTCGGTCAGTGTAATCAGTTCACTGGTGGTTGGTTGTCGCTGGTGGTCGGCAACCATCGTTTAACAGGCGCTGTCATTGTCATGGTCAAAAATTCTCGTATCACTGTCATCTTTATTAGCTAAGCTTAGTTTAAGTTAGACAAGTCGGAGAAAGCAGTATGCGTACAGCTTAAAACTTTGTCACGCCAACATGAAAAATCATGACAAAGAAAAATCTTAACCTTTTCTAGCTCTTCCAATGACAGAAAACGCGGTCTCGACAGCTGGTACATGTTTTTTATTGCAACAATAACGTTACTTACACAAATGTTACCTACACTATGTATAGCTAGTAACATTACGTACAATACCGAAATAGCTTACAAAACCCTAACATTATACTTGCGACAGGAGCCCATCACTAGGAGCGTGCAACTAACCCATATTCCTGCCACGGCGTTTTCACGAACCGATCTATTTTTAGTTTGAATTTACCGCGAATTCAAACCCCTACAGGAAACTCAGTGACCAATCACAAGCAGTTACTTAATTTTTAACTGACGTCATCATTTCACCGGAAGATTAAGGTGGCTTACAACAGTTTTTCCGAGATTTAGTAGCGCGCGCTATGATTGCCTGCCAGAAGTCAGTATTAGTCGCGCGTGCAAAAATGACCCAAGTAACCCTAAGAAGAAACGAAAACCACTTCAGCGCTCGAAACGCGTTAGGTAACTTTTAATTTGGTGTACGTAACGATAGTTTAAAACTCCGTTCAAACATGTGTTTAATAACAACCGGTAAAAGAGTTCTCATTTACCCTTGCGTTCTCACACCCGATACATCCCGTCACATGAGCGAGCGCTTTAATAAAAAGGCATGCGCAATTCAATCCTCCGTAGGAAAAAAGATGGCGACTGGTACATTTATCCATACTTCTTAGCGTAAGAAAACCTTAACAACGCTCATAAAAACGTGCAGAAAAGTTATTAAATCTTCAAACCTAGGCTACACGATGTCCTCAGCACAGGAACAAATATTGTAAAAATTTGGCTTTCTTCGTGCCATGTAGGCTGTTTTAGGTTCGCAAGGTATTGTGGTAAAATGTATAACCGCCATCTTTTTTCCTACGGTGGATTCTCGTCTAAGGTTGTAAAAGCCAGTCTTTGATTGAGGATCGCTCGTAAACCTACCGTGACCCATGATGAAATTTTCACAATTGACTTGAAGTGTTGAGAACGTTTTGTAACTGTAGCGTGACGTAATGAAAACTCGACTATTGTTTTGTTTCGAAGTGACTGAGCAATTTTTGATCATATCTTATTTCAAATCATGTAATATCTCGTTGGTCAAGTTGCACGCTCCTAGTGATGGGCTCCTGCTTGCTTTACTTACTCTACTTACAGTGGTAACATAACTTACAATTTTAGCATCAGTTTATTAATAGCTAATATTACTTAATTATAATAGTGCATCATGCTAGATTATAACTAACATTACTTTGCTATATTAACTTGGCTAAATGTTAACACACAGTGCTATTTAAAAAAAAAAGAAAAAAATATGAAATGTGCTATTTAACTTAAGGAATTAACACTGACAAACTGTTTAGGCCGGACCCGCCAGTGAAATTCTGGGGCGAGTATGTGTGTAAGGTGAGAACCAAATGGTCGCCTCTTCACTATGATCGCATGAGACTTTTTTGACAGAGGACAACCGGAGCTCTACTCTGCTCTGAGACAGGCAAACTGCATTGCTTGTCATTCCACNGTTTTTCTGTAAAGACCAAGCCATGCACCCTCTATTTGTACCGTTTTTTGGTTTTTCAACAGCTCAAGAATAAAGTTATTCTCATCTTTTGATCTGATTATAGCGAGGTCTCCTCCCAGATACTGGCACATCGTTCGAGCGTCGCTCCATTTGAGGGTCAGAGTGCCTCTGACGTAGTAACATGAATTTCCATGAAAAACCCAATCTTGCTGACAACCTAATTGGGTTAAATTCAAGAACGGAGCATATTTCATATTTAAACAGTTTCCATGTGACCTGGAAATGAATACGCGTTAACACAAGCAAATTCTAAAATAGAAAAAAGCATTTTGATTGACTAAGGGATCAGAGTCGACAACGCGCATGTTTTTGGTTGCATGGCATAGGAAAACGACGCAAACACAGGGAGTGTCAGCAGTTCTTGCAAGCTTACAATTCAATTTGTTCTCATGGTGTAGCAGCTTTTATTGTTTTTGGGCAAGGGGCATTGTTTCTGTTATTTGTTTTATTACCCACTCGATCAAAGGAGTATCGAGCCATTGATGTGAGACCTTGAAAAAGCAGCTACCTGACCCATTAAAACTGACTTTAACGGCGACACTTAAAGGTACTTTTCCATTGGCACTAAAAGTGGCGCTAAAATTGGCACTAAAAGTGGCTCTAAAACTGACACTTAATTAAACTGGCTACAACGGTTCCACTCAAGGTGGCAGTAAAATAAAAATGGCGACTTTTCAGATGGCACTAATAGTAACGCTAAAATTACTTCTAAAGGTTTCACTTAAAGTAGCAGCAAAATAAAAATTGATCTAGGTCCCTTGTAGCTAGGACTCATGATCAGTTCACGCAGTACTTATTCAATTAAGTCATTATTAATTTTACCTAAGCTAACTTGGCATCTTTCTCCAGTCCAAGGCGGTTGGCAAACACATGAAAAGGTTTGTTTTGCCTTGCCAGGCAAACAGGAACCTCCATTAAAACAGCTGGTGATCAGACATCCCTAAATAAGAGCAAAAAATAATATACGTAAAATGCAGAAAAAAGAATTCATGAGATTCATCAGTGGTGAAAATAATTGACCAAACCTTACAAATAGTCAGTTTCTCAAATAAATTGGCTTTATTTATCTCTTTGCACAACCGAGGAGTGTTTTCGTTTCGCGAGAAAGATAAAACTATTGTCGGAGTAGCTCAAAAATCTAAAATCACTTTAAATTAATTACCTTGAGATGCATCGAGAAAGTGACTCCCTGCTGATTATGAAAGTTGGCGTTTTCGTTGATGAGGAAGATGTTGTGCTTGTTCAGTTCACAAGTTCCTTTACCGTCCTTCTTGGATAACATCATGTAGTTTGTAGAGGTACACCAAGCGTACCTCATACATTGTTGGCCGCACGATAATAAACTGGGAGAATCAAACCGTTTCACAACGTATCCCTTAAGCTGCTTATTTTCTCGCATAGCAAAGTACGATGAACGATGAGATGCGAAGTTTTCTTCAGCGCAGAAAACGGCAAAAGTTTGAAACAGTAAAAGTATTAAAAACAGTATACTTGGCATTGTTAACCTGTGTGGGTGCTGGCCTCGAAGTTTATGCCATGTAATTTTACTCAACGGAAACTTTACTTTATTTGAGCCCGTAGCGAATATGGTAATTCAATTTCTTACGACGACATGATTGGTTGATTTGTTTCAACGTAATGAACTCGGGAATGGTCGGTAATCGTCGGTTTTCGATGAAAATGCTGGCGGCAATATTCTTTATTTTAAAAATTTTTGTTGGAAACTTTACGGCTAAAATTTATATTCGTGGGAAATTATAACACTAAACAGCCATTAATGTTTGTATTCCACTTTGTATGTCGTCTATGTAGTGTTTCTTCATTGTTCTAGAGCATATAAGTAGCAGTTTAACCGACTTTGATCTTAAGTTAACTCTTAACTACATTTAAGTTATTCCAATGGAGAACATAGGCTTCACTCGACATATTCGACAGCCTGGCGAAAGCGAGCAAAATATACTCTTTAATCATCCCGCAAACTCCAACATTTTAAAAGCGTGTAATTTGGGGATCAACCTTTCCAGAAGGCGATGTTTCAGGCACTATTTCCGTATAACCCCACATCAATAAATTCCAAAATAAAAAAAGAGGAACTACTCCTTGATTCGTTACAATGTGAAGATGACTGTATTAAAGTCTCCCAACTGACACAGAGGTTTACTTTGCTTTCGGTTACCTGTAGTTTTTCTTATTATTTATTTGTACCTTTTGTAATTTTGTTGAAATTATGGTTACTTTCTTTCTTTCCTTTTTAATATAAACTCTTACCCCCGCCTCGATTAGTTCTGGAACTAGTTGTGGGGCCAAGCCATTGTAACTGTATGTCAGAAAACAAAATACAATTAAAGTTCAAAGTTCAAAGTTCATCACACTTTCCCAAAACTTTCTGATTTTAAGTCCAAAATATGGAAAATCCACAAAAAGCTCGGCGACTTTTGGCTCAATAGAAAGCCATACTTACATGTACATTGCTGCATCAATGGCTGAGCTAATACAAGACAGAAGAACAGCAGAGAATTAGATCTCAGGGAAAGACTAACAATCAAAATATCTGCACTTAAAAATATACTCCCCGGCTTATCAATTGATTTCAAAGATCGAGAACTTGTTACATCCATGCACACTGAAAACATAAGCGGCCGCCTCGTGCAATATCCTAAACCACAAGTGGTCGCCTCAGGACCACATGAGCCTCTTCCGACAGAGAACAACTGGGGCTTTACTTTTTTCTGCGCCAGACAAACTGCATTCCTTGTCATTCCACTTCCCCATTCTGTACGGCACTGCATACATGTGGGCACATTTCTCTTTCACGTGATTCGGTTCCCCGCTTGCCCATGCAGAAAACTGACCCGCTAGTGGAGTGCCATCGATCCAGTGGAACGCATCTCCAGCCGACGCACTTCTGTAAAGACCAAGTCATGCGCCATAAAATGTTACTTTTCTTTGCTCCTTTAACAGGTCAAGAGTAAAGTTATTCTCATCTTGTGATCTGATTATAGCGAGGTCTCCTCCCAGATTCTGGCGAGTAGATCGAGCGGTGTTCCATTCGTCGGTCGGAGTGTCGATGACGTGGTAACATGAATTTCCGTGATGAACCCAATCTTGCGGACAATCTTATCGAGTTAACCGACAACACGCACCCTTTTGTTTTCATGGTTTAGAAAAACAAAGCAAAGCAATGCGTACAGATTGCAAGTAGCGTTCTCTTTGACCTCACTCGCTCTTCTGATAGGTTAATCGAACAAAGTATCTTAATATTAGGGATGTGGGGAAAACCGCTCAAAGTTTGTTTTGATCCTAACACAAATGGCAAAACAGGTGCAAAAACAGCTTTTCAAAGTTGTGCGAAAGCTGACTTTGAAATCAGCTTTGATATTCTGATTTTCATTCTGATCGCTTCTTTATGCAACTTTTCAGTTATATGACATTTTTGACAAAGAGCCTGTCATATTTTGAAGCCGGTACAAAAGCTCGGCTAGAGACTGACAGGATTTGTCAAAACAAGAAGGCCACGAATACCACGGAAAATAATTACTTTAATTTTTAATTGTGTTTTTTTTTTTTTTTTTTTTTTTACGGTCATGTAATTATTACCCGATCTAACTTCACATCTGTCTCCAGTCCAAGGTGGTAGATACAAGCATGAAAAAAGTAGATTTTCCTTGTCAGATAAACAAGAACCTCCATTGAAGCAGCTCGTGAACAAACATCCCTGATTAAAAAAAGAAATGGGTAACATAAAGAAATATCAATATAATATGAATTAAAAAAAGCCGTGAGAACCGTTTGAGAGAAGCTTGCAATAGCAATCCAAAAGATTTCACTACTTTTCTCGATTGCATGGGCCGTATTTAACATTAAACAGGACTTATTTAGTGGTTTGGTGAAAAGATATCATTTGCGGTAGACTAGTTACCACATATTAATTACCTTTAGCATCATAACGAAAGTAACTCCCTGCTGATCGTGAAGGTTGGCGTTTTCGTTCATGGAGGATATGTCGTGCTTGTTCAGTTCACAAGTTCCTTTGCCGCCCTTCTTGGATGGCATCTTGTAGTTGTAGAAGTACACCAAGCGTTTCTCATACATTGTTGGCCATACGATAACAAACTGGGAGAATCAAACCGTTTGATAACGCATCCTTTAAGCTGCTTATTTTCTCGAAATTCAAAGTATGATGAACGAGAAGATATGAATTTTTCTTCGGCGGAGAAAACGGCGGTAGATTGTAATAAGAAAATTATCAAAACTTTTGTATACCCCATGGCTAACAAAAGTTGGTCCGAGCAGCGAGGATTATAGTTAAATGACGGAAAAACATCAGGCAAATTTATTCAAGAATTTGTAATTTACTGTGCAGCGCCTAGCCTATTAATACATTTGCGAGATGGTCTAGAATCTGCAAGGTAAAACAAAAGACTCGTCTCCCTAAGACGACATGTATAATTGGTCGATTTCGGTCAGTGTAATCAGTTCGCTGGTGGTTGGTTGTCGCTGGTGGTCGGCGACCATCGTTTAACAGGCGCTGTCATAAGTTCTCGTATCACTGTCATCTTTATTTGTTAAACTTAGTTAAAGTCAGACATTTCAGACAAAGCAGTTGCTAATTAATGCGCTCTAAATCCAAAGGCGCGAGTACTCATGCATACAACTTAAACTTTGTCACGCCAACATAAAAAATCTTGACAAAGAAAAATCTGAACCATTCCTAGCTCTTCCAATGACAAAAAACGCGATCTCGACAGCTGGTACATGTGCTTTTTTCTNCAATATAATATGAATTAAAAAAAGCCGTGAGAACCGTTTGAGAGAAGCTTGCAATAGCAATCCAAAAGATCTCACTACTTTTCTCAATTGCATGGGCCGTATTCAACATTAAACAGGACTTATTTAGTCGTTTGGTGAAAAGATATCATTTGTGGTAGACTAGTCACCACATATTAATTAACTTTAGCATCATAACGAAAGTAACTCCCTGCTGATCATGAAAGTTGGCGTTTCGTTCATGGAGGAGATGTCGTGCTTGTTCAGTACACAAGTTCCTTTGCCGTCTTTCTTGGATGACATCTTGTAGTTTGTAGAAGTACACCAAGCGTTTCTCATACATTGTTGGCCACACGATAACAAACTGGGAGAATCAAACCGTTTGATAACGCATCCTTTAAGCTGCTTATTTTCTCGAAATTCAAAGTATGACGAACGAGAAGATATGAACTTTTCTTCGGCGGAGAAAACGGCGGTAGATTGTAATAAGAAAATTATCAAAACTTTTGTTTACCCCATGGCTAACAAAAGTTGGTCCGAGCAGCGAGGATTATAGTGAAACGTCAAATTACTCGCTTTGTAAAATGACGGAAAAACATCAGGCAAATTTATTTAAGAATTTGTAATTTACTGTGCAGTGTCTAGCCTATTAATACATTTGCGAGATGGTCTAAAATCTGCAAGGTAAAACAAAAGACTCGTCTCCGTAAGACGACATGCATAATTGGTCGATTTCGGTCAGTGTAATCAGTTCGCTGGTGGTTGATTGTCGCTGGTGGTCGGCGACCATCGTTTAACAGGCGCTGTCGTAAGTTCTCGTATCACTGTCATCTTTACTAGTTAAACTTAGTTAAAGTCAGACATTTCAGACAAAGCAGTTGCTAATTAATGCGTTCTAAATCCAAAGGCGCGAGTACTCATGCGTACAACTTAAACTTTGTCACGCCAACATAAAAAATCTTGACAAAGAAAAATCTGAACCATTTCTAGCTCTTCCAATGACAGAAAACGCGATCTCGACAGCTGGTACATGTGCTTTTTTCTTGAAACAATAACGTCACTTACACAAATGTTA